TTTTTCATGGAAGGTACACTTTTAAAATGGACTAACTATTATAATGGTAAGTAAATCAAATAATAAAAAAAAAAATATTAATTTGTTAATTATTAAATTAAGGATGGCAACCACGTTACTTTGTCTTAAATGAAACGGGCATTCTTTCTTATTACAAATCAAGTGAATTAATTCATGAAGGTTGTAAAGGATCATGTTTAGTAGTTGCATGTGAAGTCAAAGGTAAAATAGTTCTTTGATTTTATTTTATTTTTTTTTCTTTAAGATATTAATTCAAAAAAAAGTTTACTCTTTTCGATTTAGTTCATCCACATGATCCACTTCGTTTTGATTTAATAATACCTGGTGAACAATTTTTTTGTTTAAAAGCTAAAACACAATCTGATCGACAACATTGGCTTGTTGCATTGGGTTCATGGAAATCTCAAGGAGCGAAATCGACTATAAAAACAAGAAATACTTTGAATAATAATAATAATAATAATAATAATACATCTTTATTAAGTAAAAAAAACAAAATACAAAATCCATCATTGTCATTTGTATTTTTTTGTTTTAGTTTCTCATCTAAATACAATTGATGATGAGTTAAAATTAAAAGTACAAGAATTACGTCTCTATGAAACTGTTCTTATGCAACGTATTCATGCTGTTAAATCTATTTCAAATGATACACCAACACCTGATGTTAAAGTAAATTCATTGTTTCTTTTTTCTGCTATTTTATCTATGTCGTTTTTTTTAATAAAATTTTCAAAGAAACTAGACGAAACTACAACAATGTTAAATGTTACTTGTGATGCTTTTATACATGCACTTGATGAATGTGTTAAATTAGCAACCGGTGGTTCAAGTCAATCATTAATGTTATTATCTCCAAGTTCATCAATTAATTCAAATAGTAGTTTAATACAACGAAAAACATCAAATGAATTTAATTTAAATAAGTTTGTCATTCACAATAGAATATTAATTATGAATTATATTTGAAATTATTTTAGAACTCGAGATACAACAATTGTTTTACCAAAACAATTTGTTTATCGAACATTTTTTTCTGAATTTCATTATACGTAAGTTTTAATTAAATTAAATTATTCTTTCTAGTATATATTATTTTTGTTCTAGATTTTCTACTCTAAGTTCTTTATCATTGAATGAAATTCATTCGGAAGAATTTCTTGCCACTTGCGAACAATACTTAGAGTTAATCGGTATGAATTTTATATGTTAAAAGAAGAAAAAACAAAAAAATTATCTGTCTTTTATAAAATTTTCTAATAGATAAATTTAATGCTACAACATTTAATACATTCCGATCTGATGCTATGAATAATATTAATGTAAGTTTATTATTTACCAATTTTTGTTAAAACAAATTCTAAGAGCATCGTTGAAGTCAATAGATAGATATTTAAAACTATAGATCATGACAGAAGTTGTTGATATACAGAGAAAATGTCTTATCAGTAGATACTAGCTTATGTCGATATCGTACTTTGTGTAATGTAAGATTACATTAAAAAAAAGCATCCGTTCTATTCATCTAAAAAATCGTTAATTCTGTAACTAGTATCATTTAGATACTTTGGTGCTATGAGCAGAATATATCGTAAGATAGAGCTACATGTACTGTATTTAAAATATAAAGTTCGAAGAATTTCCACGAAAAAAAATTTGCTCTCTTACAAATTCACTAGTTTTTTTCTGTTTTACGATTTTCTTATCAACAATGTAATCAAAACAAATTTTCAAGTGAATCGAAAAGTCAGATTGTAAAGACATTTTGCGTGTTGTTCTCTATTTGACTTTCATCTATATATGGACGTGTTTCATTTTCTAGAGTTTGTTCTTTCAAACAATAAATAAATGCGGAAACTTCGGATTTAAATCCGAGAGTTATGTGTACTTCAAAAAGTGAATCATACAAATCAATCATCCTAGACTGTCTGAATATCAAAATTATACTGTGAAATCTACCATTTAAAATGTTGATTTCTATTGCGCGTTGCCAAACCAATAGGACATGGGACCGAATACAGCTCAAGTTTGAACTCTTTCCCTTGATTTACCCTAAGAAAGTCGTTTTTCCTATAACTTCATTTCTATTGGTCACTGCACAACTAATAGTATTTCGATGGAAGTGCAGTACACATTCGAGTTCTCCATATCTGAAAACCTCGAAGTATCATCAGTGTGACCGGAAGATAAAGCTCTATTTGTGGATCAATTAGATCGTGGACCAAAATATCACCTAGTTCTCTTTAATTATCCTTGTCATTGGTATGTCAACCTTCTTGTTTCTTTATGTTTTATATATCCTTTTGTAGTTCTTTAAATTCTCTATCGAATGGTATATAATAGTTGGGGTTTTATTTGACTATGATAGGAAAAGTTTTTTACGAAAGCGGGGATGGGTCGATTTTCGCATAGGAAGCCATAGGAAAAAATGAGTATTTTTGCAATAACTCAAGAATGGTTCAGCCAATTCTTCCTATCTTCGAACTCGACCGAGACATTGTTAAGACTGAACTGTGTAGAAAATTTTATCGCGATTGGACTCTCCTTTCAAAAGTTATCGTGTTAACGGCCGGACGGCCGGACATACTGACCGATTCTAGAGTGTACTCACTTTTTGAGTACACAAAAAATCAGATCGATCGAATATTCGACTGTTGAGAAATGAGTCTCGACATTTTTTTTCAAAGACTGATACATGGTTTATTATATATAAAAATAAAACAAAACGATCTTCAGAAATGCTCATTTTTAATATTGTTCCTATTCTCGAACTCTTTACTCGAATTCTCAATTTCTGTTTCACGCAAGAAAACAGAATGGAAAAATATTGTTCTTCCAGGACACTAATATTCGATCAAAGACTCTATAGGAATAACGTCTAGTTATAGTAAATGAACTACTTTCTTATTGCATTTGTAGAAGATTAAGTAAAAGGATAGTGAAGACATATATCCAAAAATAGATTAAAAAAAACAATATTTCTGTGACTAGCAAGCAACAGCCATTATATTGTGTTGCATATTTTATTTTCACAGAAATTTCACTAACAGCTTTTCTTATAGAAATTGAGAAACAAAATTAGTACGAATCCAAAGAAATTCCAAACTTTATATTCGATTATTAATGATGAAATATCTACTCAAACAATGAAAGAAAAAGATTCGGCAACAGGTGCACTTCTTTGGCTTAGAAGGTAAAACTTAAACACTTATTTAAGTTTTCTTCATCTAACGTCTCTCGAAAAATATTAAGTCCATGGGTATTTTTGCAATAACTCAAGAATGAAGATACGAGGCTATTAAAGTATATTGCAATTCCATTATTCAACAATCAGATGAGTTCTTATTCGAACTAATCGATAGGGAAAATTCTTTTCTTTCGATTTACGCAAGACTAACAGTCATTCATAGCTAGTTCCATCGCATGGTTATTAGACATTCTGAGTTCCCAATTTCAACCAATTGATCTTTAATCGCCCAGAAAATCAGTTCGGCAAGGGTTAGTCATTATACTGAGTTGATTGATGATGTTTGTTTTTAGACCTGAAATGATCTGACACTTATCTTAATATTTTTCAGTTTTCATAATTAGCTTCCATATAATGAAAGAGTCAACATTTCAAAAATATTGAGATAACAGTTTCAGATCATTTTGAACCTAAAAACGAATATCACCATTCGACTCACCTTGATAAATTGCTCCTACGTAGCTGTTTTCTCTACTGATCACAATTCAATAGTCTGTAATCGGATCTCAGAAAAAGTGTCTCATAACTCTTGAATGGAACTAGCTAGAAATGTTAGCATTGCGTAGATCGAAAGAGAAGAATGTTTCCTAAGGATCATTCTTAATGAAAGTCTAAATTGAAAGAGAATAGCTTCAGAATATTGTTTTCAAAAATTTTCACCAAGAACTCAACTGATGATTGACTGTACTATACTTTGATGGATCAGAATCTTCGCTCTCGAATGATAAAAACAGAAGCTCTCTAGCTATTTCCGTTCTTGAATGATTGCAAAAATATCTGTTGCTATTATGTTTTTGGACAGACATGGATTTAAAGCTTTGAAAGACCGAAGATAAAACGTTTTGTACTTGTAAATGAATGAAGTTTTTCTTTTAAATCGTTCTGTTTATTTGATAAATCTTATGATCTATTTTGTTTGTAGAAGTATACATTTTCTTGCATGCTTTCTACATGAATTTGGTCAAGGTGATAAAAATGTTGAAGATGCAATGAATAAAGCATATGGACAAGCATTAAAACCTTTTCATGATTGGAATACACGTGGAGTGTTTTCTGTAAATATTTTATTTATTTAGTAATCAAATAGAAAAATTTCTTTTTAGGTTGCTTTTCGATCAGTTCCTTCGAATGAAGATTTTCTTACTTCACTGGCTATTGATCCAAATGAAGCTCGAGAAGCTTTATTTGAACGACAAGTTTGTTTTTTAGAACTTTTATAGAAATAATATATTTGATTTTTTTTTGTTCTTCTTCAAGATTTTGAATGAAATGCTTGAACATAGTACAAATATGAATGTTGTTGTGCGTAAAATAAATGATTTTTATATTGAACATAATATTGAATTAGATGGTATTGTTGGCTAATTATTACATATTGTCTTTTTTTTGTTAATTTTATTTATTAAGTAATGAATGTCATTATTTTGAGTTATTATTATAATAAATTATTCAATTTGAA